TCCGAGAGAGGTCAAGTGTAAATAATTGAGTTGAAGCACACGCAGGCTTTGAGAGGCAGATTGCATCGGCATCGTCTCTGGCTGGTGCGGATGACTGAGTCCAGTACTCAACTCTATTCCCCCCAAAGGTTGGCAGTTCAAACCCTCCCCCAGAGGTGCCTTGGAAGACAAGTGAGTCTGGGGCTCTGCTTCTGAAAGGTCCACCCCTTTGAGCCCCCCCAGGGCAGTTCTGTTTGGCACAGGCAGGGAGCGGCTTTGAGTCAGGCCCAATAACCACCACGTGCCTTCCTCCGGGGAGCTATTTGGCTGGAACCGAAAATCTGTTTTGATAAGTTTGTTTCCTTGAGCTGGCAAAGTCTCTTCCACTTATGGACATGGCTGCTTTGTCCTCCTTGTCCCTCCCACCCCGTTTAGCACTTGGGTGATATTTCAGGGGCTAATGGTCACACCTACCGGGTTTCACTCCTGAAAGGAGGAGGGAGCGAGTCAATAGAGACCTGTAAGACTATCAATCCCCGAGATTTCTTATTTGTTAAGTTCCCTTTGAGAAACTAAGAGGGGAAACTGATCTTCATTGCAGGTGATCTTGGCCGAACTGCATCTCACCGGATTCCAGCGGTCCTTCTTTGATGAGGAGGACTTGAATATCATCGCGGATGGAGACAATGTGTATGCCTTCCACGCCCCGTCCTCACCTGGCCCGGGCCGGCTCTTGGGTACTTGGCTTCACGCTCTTTGAGTGTATTTGGATGTCCTTGAGGGGGCTCTCGCTGGCTGCTAAAGCGGAGGACATTGTTCTTGGGGCTGAAGATCTGGTGTCGAGACGAGTGCATTCAAATGTCCCTGTTCAGCTAACTCAAGGATGCTCAGCCCTGGGAGAGGACCAGAATCACATAGCTGGGCTCCACCCACAGAGCCTCTGATTCGGTGCACCTGTCGGGAGACCCCGGTATTTGCATGTTTAACAGGCACCCAGGTGATTGCTGCTGGACCGGGTGCTGGGGGTCAGAGTTTAAGAATCACTGTTCAGTGTAGCTGCAGGATAACAATCTCGGTCCTCAGATCTCTTAGGCTTCAGTTAGTCCTTGGGACACACCTTCTCCCCAGGTGACCAGAAGGGGCAGCAGTGTGAGTTAAAGGGCCTCTTGCTAACAATTCACTTCCGAGTGCCTGCATTCCCTGAAACTTGGGATGCGCTGACAGGGTCCATACTGGGTGGTCTTTCATCGTTGGCCAGTATACAATTTGGACCAGCAAACCACGCTTAAAGGATCCTGTGCCAGTGTTAGTCAGTTTTCCTGATGAACCCTGTGCCCTCAACCAGCCGAGGGGCTGTGCATGCTGCAGCTCTTCCGTAACAAGACGCTGGCTGCTCCTGATTGTGTGGTGACCACAGGCGGCCTGCATTTATGTCGAAAGCCAACCTCTCAGCACGGATAGGGCATTGAGGGCGCTCCATTTCACACACACACACCCCTGCCAGTGGCGGCGATGCCCATATCTGTGTACTTCCTGCCCTGGCTTTCTAAGACGGTGGCCACTCAGGGCTCTCTAATTGTGGCAACAAGCCATTTCGGAGTAGTGGTCAGATTGGCTTTGCCAAGCAAACCCCTGCCCTGACTGGACAGCACTGCAAATCTGCCACCGGGTATGTGGTTTCCATGTGGCCGGGGACCCAGGTGCCACGGATCTGCTCACATCTTCTCCTGAAACTCTCCAGTGCCGTCCCACCGGTGACTCACGGATGCTCAAGGGGGCAGAGGGACCAGCGATGGGGGCTCTGACCCAGCAAAGAGGTCCTTTAAGAATGCAAACGCCATCCTCTCTCTTCCAGATCATCCACCTGGCCTGCCCGTCTGCCCACGCCCCGCACCCCGGGAAGGTCAGCGAGAGGCCAAGGTGGTTATCCTCTTCTGTAACTTGGTGGGATCAGGGAATCAGGCCAGCAGGTATGTCCAGCTCCGCCCTTTGATTGTTACGCTTTTTACATGCGTGACCTCAGCTTTGTTGACAGTCCTTGGGGCTCCCTCTAGGTGGTGCGAATTTGATCAGATGAGTCATATATCCCCAAGTGTCGGCACCGGGGGCCCCGTGGCAGGATTCTTGCCTTCCACATGGGAGACCTGAGTTCAGTACCCAGCCAGTGCACCTCATGCCCACCGGTGGTTCGTGTGCCCCGCTGATGTTGACCACGTTCTAGACTGAGGTGGACTAGAAGGATGGCCTGGTGTTGATCCACTGTCAAAATCTGCCAGGGAAAGCCCTGTGGAGCACCGTGGTCTGATCTGTTCTCAGCACCGGGCAGTGTTGTGTCCTGTTGGAAGCAGAACATGATCCACTGTGCTCCATGGAGACGTCGAGCGTTGGGGCCTCCGTGATGGATGGATGGCAGCTGACAGCAACGGCCTATTCCCAAGTCACAAACTAGAAACAAGGGGTGGACTATTTTCTGATCAGGACAGCCCACAATAATCTGCCTTAGCAGATGGCCCACATCACCCTTACAAAGAAAACTTTACTACGAATTGGAGAAACAGGTCCCTTCTCTTGCTACTATTCTATTAGGTTGTGAGGCCTAGGGATTACAGGATGAGGAAAACCCACTGCCAGCGAGTTAATCTTCTATCAGGCTGCTGAGGTCTGCGAATCTTTACAGGAGCCGATTGCCTCATCTTTCTCCCAAAGAGTGGCCGGTGGGTTTGAACCAACGACCTTATGGTTAGCAGCCCAACATGTAACCTGTGTCACCAGGACTCCTTGGCTATAGCCAAAGAGCAGATAAGTTATCTGCTTAGAGATGATATGACTCTTTAGCAAGATCAAGGCCTGGAAAGTGATTAGAGCTCAGGAATGATTTCAGGAAACTGACTGGGTACATAAACAATGTGCAAAATCAGATCACTTTCTGATGTAGTCCAGATAAAGTCGCAAAGATAATTCCCATAAAAATGTTTAGATAAAATATTGTCAGGATTTATCTGAAAGAATTAACTGATCGGAATACCCAGAAAGCATGGGGATAGAGTGTGGAAGAGGAGGACACTATTAAGAGGGAGTAAAGTTTTAATGATGAAGATGCCATGTTATGGTCAGAAGAATATACTGTTAAGTCAAGGCAACAGAACAGGCCAAACTGTCTGAGCTTCCATTAAGTGGTAAAATCGTATTTCCTAGGATGATTAGGCTTACTGGTCAGAGACTGGTAGAACCCCCGAGACTGCAGCCCTTGATCACCCTCAGGTCTGGAAATGAACCCCCCACCCTGGTTCAATTTTCACCCCAACAGTAGTTGAGGGAACAACAGTGCTAGAATAACCAACCTTTGATGATTGCAAGGGAGCTGTTACCAAAGGACATGGCTCTTGATGGGTGAGGAAAAGACAGACACAGGACGAAGTGGGTGAATGGTGTTACATTGTGGGGCTTGCAATCCGTGACAGGAGATGAAACATGTTTGAATTATTGAATGGAAAACCTGTTCGCCCTGTGAACCTTCACCCAATTCTCTTTAAAAAAAATTTTTTTAAGGAAGGGAAAAAAACAAAACAAAAAGCCCAGTATTTAATACTATTGAGGAATCAATGCATGGTTTAATTAGTGAGGCTGGGTTAATTTGTGTTTTTCTATGAAGTCTTATTTTCCCCCACCATAAATTCCCTTATGTAAATTCTAGGCTGGAGAGATACTTATAAAACTGGAAATTGACAAACACTTACTGAAGATAATAAGGGAATATGGATGCCTTTGAGCTGTGGGCTCCTTTGATGTCTGATGCAGTAGCTCTGTTGGATGAGCTTGAACTGCTAACACCAAGGTCAGCAGTTCAAGCCCACCAGCGACTCTGAGGGAGAAAGATGAGACTCATTCCTTGCCTTGTAAAAATTTACAGCCTCAGAAGCCCAATGTGGGCTCTCTTGGGGCTGGAGCCTACACCTTGGCAATGGATTGGGCTTAAGGTTAGGAACTATAATGGATTAAAAGAAGAAGAAGAAATAAATTTAAAATCCCAAATTAGAGACTAGAAGCAACTTTGAAAGGCAGAGGGCAAATGGCAAAAAACAACAACAACAAAAAAACCCAAAAAAACAACCCACACAAAATAACTTACATCATCTTGTCACATTCTAGCCAGCAGCCTGGAGATTAAGTGTGTGACCCAGAAACTTCCTCTCTGGGGGGAGTTTATTAGCCCGGGGATCATATCCCAGCAGACTGTTTTCACCACAGTGTCTCCATGAATTTATTTCTGTTGGCCTCTGTTCACGTCTTCTTGTCTCCATTTCGAAGGGTCCTTGGGTGATGTGGACACGCAATTGTTTCACTTCTAGCCCCCAAAAGGCTGGTGGTTCAAACCCCTCAGGGGCACCTTGGGAAAGCATACAAGGTACTCTGCTTCCAACAGGTCAGAGAGCCTTGTAAACCTTAGGGACAGTGGGACAGTTCTTCTCAGCACACGTAAGGTCGCCAAGAGCCACAGTCCCCTCGATCGATGGCAGCCGGTCTCCGCTTTTCATGCGGGTGGCGTGATTCTGGGTCTGTGACTGGCCATTAAGAAGGGACCACCTGCTAGGAACAAAGCCTTGTGTTTGGGGCTTCGATCTC